TTTTTATTTTATTAAAATATATAATAATATATATTAACTCATTTAATAACATAACTAATTTTGTATTGTTAATCTTATATTTTCATCCATCATTTTTATTTTATTAAAATATATAATAACATATATTAACTCATTTAATAACATAACTAATTTTGTATTGTTAATCTTATATTTTCATCCATCATTTTTATCATATGTATCAGTACTTTTATTATTTAACTATTTAAAATTAACATATAAATTAATAGTTTTAGAAATTTTAACAATTATAAAAATTAATAAAATTAAATAAACTAAATAAATTTATAATATTTTATCTGGTCACGGTAACAAATTTTGGTGTGACCATGATATGGTCCATTTTCGATGGGTGGGATAGTAATCATAAATCATAAAAATTCATAATTATTTTTTATTTGAGTAAATCAAGAAAGTAGGGAAGAAATCATGATCAACTTCTGCATCCGTTCATCATCTCCTCATTTGTTGATCAATTCAACCTTTGTGATTCCCTTTCTTACAAAGAAAATCAATTAAACATGAAATTAATAATAAATTGAACATTCAAATAAAAAGCATTTCTAAAATGTTTGTTTTTTTCCCTTTGGCTTTGGAGTCTCAGGAAACAACGGGCACCATTACTCACGAGGAAAAATTATCACTACCACGTTGCGGAATTGAGGAAAAGATCCTTCTTTTTTGTATGCCAACTAGAGCTTGCATCACCATCGTCTCCACTTCTACTTTGTCAAAGTGGTGGTTTGTGTGTTTTCTTGATTTTCTTGCTTGTCATCTCCGGTTAAATTTTCACTAGATGGACACCGTAAATCATCTTCGTAGTCCTCCGGCAGCCTTCCTCCATGAACGGCAGCGCAATCGGAGTCTCTACAAGTTTTGCTACCATCCGAGTGGGGTCTAACCGGAGTACAGGACCCAGATCCGCAGTCATTGTCGCACGTTGATTTTTCTTGGATTAATTTGTTCTTGTGTTGGTTTCAAGAACATTGGGAGCGATGGTTAACTAGTGTTTGTGAGCTCGAATGAGCCGGCGAAGGGTGCTCTAGTTTGCTAACGTGGTGGAGGTTCTGTTGGGATTGTGTTTGCTTGGTTCATAGGTCGATCGATGTTTGATTATGGATATGGGTTTGCTGGATTTCATAAATTAATGGATAAGTGCCCTACAGAGAAGACAGGTGGACTAGTGGGGAAGAAGGTTTTAGAGGGAAGGAAAGAGGAAGGAAAGGAGGAGAAGACCGATGGGAATTTTTTTTTTTTTTTATAATTATATATTTATAATATAATCTAATATTATAAATATATAATATATT